GTAGTAGTAGTGGTAGTAGTAGTTGTTAGTAGTAGTAGTAGTAGTAGTAGTAGTAGTAGTAGTAGTAGTAGTAGTAGTAGTAGTAGTAGTAGTCGTAGTAGTAGTAGTAGTAGTAGTAGTAGTAGTAGTAGTAGTAGTAGTAGCTGTAGTGAGAGGGATGTCGAGTTACGTTGCCATCACGCGCGTGCAGAGGCGAGATCACATATGTTTTTTTTTCTTTTGCTTGGAACCCGTGCAACGAAGGCGAGATGCCTGGCACGAAGAAGCTGTTGCAGGTGCTCCAAGGAGAGGGCGGGGATTGGGAAGGGTGGGAGGCTGAACCAATCCCACGAGACCAGTGCCAGCAGGGCTGGCGGATGCTTATTGTTAGAGGCGTTCGAGAAGTACGAGTTCCAGAGGAAAGGGGAGGCCAGCTTTTCGTAAGGAGTGCACGGCGGGTATGGAAAGCGCGAGCGAGACATGGTGCAAGACGCGCGAAACATGCGCAACTATATGGGAATGTCATGGGCCGACGCGGCATTGTGGCAACCAAGACAACCCAGAAGCTGGCGACGCGGAAGGCCCGAAGTCTGTTCGGGCAAGGCGCAGCGGAATCCGCGTCATGGCGACGCGAAGTGGAACGACAACGATGGCACAGTGCGATGTTCGAACGGGAAATCCGTGTCGCTTTCTGACGAGAAAGCGGACATTCCGGAAGCGCAGCAAAAACACAAAGCAGCCACGGGACATGTTGTGTCGGGGGTCGGCGGAGGGACGTGATAAACTGACGCGCGAATCAGACAATCGCACGCGGAATATATAACCCGAAACAAAGCAATTGACGTGCGCGGCGTGCGGGGGGAGCTTTCTGGGACACGAAGCATCTAATTCAGGGACAAGTGGAACGCCACCGATCGACGAATCAGGAACGCGTGGTGTGTGCAGATTGCAGGGGCCTCGGGTTCACGGCGCGCAGATGGCAGGCGTATCAACGCAGCTGCGCGTGCCAAAAAAACCGAAGTGGGCGTTCCCCGTCGCGGGTGGCAAGGCTGCGCGCGCCGAAAGAAGCGGCACACTAACGTGCAAGTCGTGCAGATGATGCCCGCTCGGGTGACCATTTGGGATATCGAGATTGCAGTGGCGCTGCGCGTGCCGAATTCCGTGGAAGGGGGACCAGCACGGGAGAGGGTGAGAGGGACAACGATGACTATGAGAAGAACCATGCGACCAACGGGGGGGGGGAATGGAACATGAAATAGGACGGCGATGATGATGGTGACGAGGATGATGGTGATGGTGATGACGCTGGTGTTGGTGATGATGGCGATGCTGATGATGATCGTGGTGGTGATGATGATGACGATGTTAATGGTCACGATATTGACGAGGATTATGATGTTGGCGATGCTGATTATGATGTTGATTTATGACGACGGCGACACTTGTGATGTTGATGACGATGCGGACCGTGATGATGAGTGTGATGATGCATGTGGCGATTATGGTGTTCATGATGTCGAATATGAAGATGATGATGATGGGGATGATGATGGTGATGATGGTTATTGTGTGTGCTGGTGACGATGACGATACTGATGGTGATTATGATGACGGTGGTGGTGATGATGGATGGTGATGATGATGATGAAGAAGAAGAAGAAGATGATGATGATGATGATGATGATGATGGTGATGATGATGATTATGATGATGATGATGATGATGATGATGATGATGATGATGATGATGATGATGATGATGATGATGATGATGATGATGATGATGATGATGATGATGATGATGATGATGATGATGATGATGATGTTGATGATGATGAAGATGACGATGATGATGGTGATGATAATGAGGACAACATGGGAGGACGAATGTGAGGATAAAGGATGAGGAGGAAAAGGAAGCTGATGAGGAGGAGGAGGAGGAAGAGGAACAGGAGGAGGAGGAGGATGAGGACACGGAGGAGGAAAAGGAGGAGGAGGCAGAGGATCGGGTCGACCCAAAAAGGGCTCCAGCGACAAGGGGGTGATGCAATAGATCTGGCGCGATCGATTTGTGGGGTTGCGATACATCTGGGACGTGCAATACATTCCGGGGCCCAAGTGTATTGCTGGGTTTTCGCGTGCAATACATTACATGCAGTACAACGCAATACAAGTCTCCAGCGCAATACACTTGCAAGACAATTGCCCAACATCTATTGCACCACCTCTTTCAGTTGGACCCCATTTGGGGTGACCCGAAGAGGAGGAGGAGGAGGAGGAGGAGGAGGAGGAGGAGGCTGAGGGAGGATGATGGCTGAGGAGGAGGAGGAGGAGGAGGAGGAGGAAGGAGGAGGGAAGTGAGGGGAGGAGGGAGGAGGGAAGGCGGAAGTGAGGAGGAGGAGGAGAGGAGGAGAGATAGGAGTATGAGGGAGGAGGAGGAGGAGGAGGAGAGGAGAGGAGGAGGAGAGGAGGAGGGGGAGGAGGAGGAGGAGGGGCGGAGACGGAGGAGGGGGTTGAGGAGGAGGAGGAGGAGGAGGGATGGGAAGCAGGAGAGGAGGAGGAGAAGGAGGACAAAAAGGAGGACAACATGGAAATTGGAGGAGGGTTGAGGAGGAGGAGGGGAGGAGGAGGAGTATCAAGATGAGGCGGAGGACCGGAGGAGGAAAGGAGGAGGGGGAGTGAGAGGAGGAGTGACAAGATGAGGAGGGAGTGCAGGGGGAGACACGGAGGAGGAAGAGGCATGATTATGATGATGAATGATGATGATGATGATGATGATGAATGATGATGATGATAGATGATGATGCTGATGATTATGGATGATGATGGCTGATGATGATGATGATGATGATGCTTATGAATCGATGATGATGGAGGAGGCGGAGGAGGAGGAGGAGGAGAGGAAGAGATGAGGAAGGACGGAGTAGGGAGGATGAGGCAGAGGAGGAGGAGGAGGAAAAGGAAAAGGAAGAGGAACACATGGAAAGGGGAGGGGGAGAAGGAGGAGGAGGAGGAGGAGGAGGAGGAGTCCAGGAGGAGAAGGAGGAGGAGGAGGAGGCGAAGGAAGAACAGGAGGACTAGGAGTTTTTTTTTTTTTTTTTTTTTGGTATAATATATATTTATATATATAATAGTTTTTGATTTTATTGATGATGCTGATAGTTATAGTAGAGATACTGGTCATACGACGAAACAGGGTAATAACCATACTAATGATAGAATAATAACACTACTACCAAATATCATTACTAATAATAATATGAGATATACGGACATTATTAAGAATACTAATGCGATTCAGAAGAATATGAATACTGATAAGAAGAGGCATACTAACAATACTAATACTGAAAATAAGATGATGAATACTCAGTAGAAGGGAGGAGGAGGAGAAGGAGGAGGAGGAGGAGGCTGCCCTCCTCGCCGCTGCAGTGGTTAAACCAGGTCCAGGCCAGGCGCTCCTGGTCCCCTCTCAGGTGCGCTTCCCGATCGTGGTGGCGCTGAACAAGATTGACGCGCCCACCGCCGCTGCACACGTCGCAAAAGCCCAGGCTCGAGGGGTGTCGCGTAGCGAGCAGCCAATGCTGGCAATCAGCTTTCGTTCGGGGTTAATGGGTAGAAGCCTCTCTGAACCAGAGGACGCCAGCTATACGACACGCCGATCGTGTCTGGTCCCATTCTGGTCCCAGGGTCGGCGTATGCGCCTTCTGGGCCAAGCCAGGAATTTGCTTTCACCGATCCCTGACCCAGGCTGGACCTGGCCAGAATCGGCGTGGTGTCTAGGCTGCCCATTAATGGCGCCGACCCCACCGGGATATCGTAGTTCGCGTTCGTGTCGCGCGTGACGTGCGTGCGAAGATTTGCGCACATTACCCAGGTCGTCATGATGGGTGGCGAGGAAACGTACTCCTGCTCCAGCTCCGCCGGGCTGCGGGTGCCGTCTGGTGCCGTGGTGTGGTGCGTTGTGGTGTGTCGCGGTGTCGAGGTGTCGCGGTGTCGAGGTGTCGCTGTGCCTTGGGGTCGCGGTTTGTCGTGGTGTCGAGGTGTCGTGGTCTGCTGTGGTGTCTTTCACAGTCTCACCATAAGAATACGGATGTTCTTCCTAAGAGGAGCAGTTCAGTTATTTGGTGAAGCGGGGTGAGAATCATCAGAATGATTATACGAATGCGAGTCATCAGTTCGCTATTCAGAGTTGCGCACATACAAAATACGACTAGTAGTAACAGTGCTGATGACGTCACTTATTCGATGGAACGCCCCCGAGTGGCAGACGCTGCCGACTCACGGTTTCTGTGCGTGGCCACCGTGACGGAAGGGTGGCAAGGTGTGACGCCCTCGGACAGACTTTGGGAGGCCTTGTGGAGGAATGGTGACGCCAACGAGGGTGTGAGATTGGCCCCAGACGGCCCACGAGGTCCCCAACAACCGCCTAGAAAAGTCCAAGCAGGGGCCCAAGAGGATCTCCAAACAGACCAGATGGGGCCTCCAGAGTGTCAAAGGGGGGTGAAGGCAAAGCGGCGAATCGGACGGGAAAAAGGGGCTGCTGGAGTTAGTTTCGGACCATCAGGAGGGCCTCCGAGGACCGCCTGGGGGCGTCCATGACGGCAGAAGAAGGCGTCAGGAGGGCACCCGGATGGCCCACGATAGCTCCAAGAAGCTTGGAGGACAGAGGCCTGGAAGATCTCCGAAGGTTGCCAGAGAGGCCCGAAGAGTCTCAGGAGAGGTTCCAAGAGAGGCTCCAAGAGGCGCACAGATAGGCCCGACACGGCCATCACCGTGGACACCCATTCAACTTCAGCTGGGACTTCAGGCAACCCGTCGTCGTCGCCGTCGATGTCGCCGTCGCCGTCGTCGCCGTCGTCGTCGCCGTCGACGTCGCCGCCGTCGTCGTCGCCGTCGTCGTCGCCGTCGTCGTCGCCGTCATCGTCGTCGCCGTCGTCGTCGCCGTCGACGTCGACGTCGCCGTCGTCGCCGTCGTCGTCGCCGTCGTCGTCGCCGTCGTCGTCGCCCCCCGCGGCGGGCGGGCCAGGCGGCGCTCGGGGCCGCCTGCGTGCCCGTGTCGGCGCGCAGGACCCCCTTTTTGTTGCGGGGGCGGGCGGGAGGCCCGCCGCCGTGCCCAGGTCGCCGTGGTCGTCGTCGTCGTCGTCGTCGTCGTCGTCGTCGTCGTCGTCGTCGTCGTCGAGGATGTCTTCGTCGTGGTGGTCGTCGTCGTGGTCGTGGTCGTTGTCGTGGTCGTCGTGGTCGTCGTGGTCGTCGTGGTCGTCGTGGTCGTCGTCGTTGTCATCATCGTCGTCGTCGTCGTCGTCCGACCGCAGACCTTCAAAAAGCCTTCCGAAGACTTGTAAGATGTGTGGGGTCGGAGAAGCGTAATGGGGGGGCGATGACTGGGGGGGGGCAGCGAGGGCTGCAGAAAAGGGGCCTTTCAGGGCCCCTGAAGGGACCCCATCGGCCCCAGGAGGGCAGGGCGCGAGAGGAGCACCTGCTCCCCGGCCCATGTATCGCCCCCCCCCCCCCCCCCCCCCCCTCTTTTGCCCCCCATGTATTGCCCCCCCCCCTCTATTGCCCCCCCTCCCCCCTCCCCCCCCCCACCCCTCTATGAACTAGTTCGCGCCCAATCGAAAGCCCAGACACTTGGAGACCCTGCGGGATCGCGCCGGAGGCTCTGGTCGCAGTTCTCGGCGTCGGGGGCCGCTCCGTGGGCGCTGGAGGCCTGCTCCGGGCGACCTGGGACGGCCCGCCGGCCTCATGGAAGTCGGGGGCGGCCGAGAGGAGGGTGATGACTGGGGTTCAGTCGGGCGCGCGGATGCTTTTCGCTCGGGTTGGCTTTCGCGCCGTTGGTGTCGCCCGGTTCGTTTCGCCCAGGTCTGCTCTCGCCCGGTTGGCTTTCGCCCAGGTTCGCTTTCGCCCGGTTGGCTTTCGCCCGGGTTCGCTTTCGCCGGGGTTGGCTCCGACCCGACCCTCCCGTTAGGGTTCTCGCGTGTTCGCTCGGGCGTGCCCCACGCTTTATTGTCCTCAGTGTCCCCCCCGCCCGATCCGACCCGCCCGTTAGGCTCCGCCCGACCTGACCCGACCCGTCCCGCTCGGTAGGGTCTGCCCGCCCGACCCGACCCACCCGTTCAGGTTCACGCGTGCTCGCTCGAGCGCGCCCCACACTTTAGTCTCCCGCCCGCCCGGCCCGACCCGCCCGTTAGGGTTTGCCCGACCCGACCCGACGCGTCCCGCCCGCCCGCCCGATAGGGTCCGCCCGATAGGGTCCGATAGGGTCCGATAGGTTTCCGGGTTTGCCCGACCCGCCCGGTAGGGTCCGCCCGCCCGACCCGACTCTTCGCGCGTGCTCGCTCTGGCGCGCCTCACACTTTAGTGCCCCGCCCGCCCGACCCGACCCGGCCGTTGGGGTCCGCCCGACCCGACCCGACCCGTGCCGCCTGTTAGGGTCCGCCCGCCCGACCCGACCCTTCCGTTAGGGTTGACGCGTGCCCACTCGAGCGCGTACACCTTTGAGTGTCCGCGCCCGCCCGACCCGACCCGCCTGTTGGGATCCGCCCGACCCGACCCGACCCGTCCCGCCCGTCAGGGTCCGCCCGCCCGACCCGACCCGCCCTGTGGAGCCCGCGCCCAACCCCTGGCGAACCGACCCCGGCGAGACGAAGCCCAGCGAAAGCCGACCCCAGCGAAAGCCAACCCTGGCGAAAGCCAGCCCCGGCGAAAGCCAACCCGGGCGAAAGCCAACCCCAGCGAAACGAGACCCAGCGAAACCAAGCCTGGCGAAAGCAAGCCCGGAAAAATGAAGCCCAGCGGAACGAAACCCGGCGAAAGCCAACCCCGGAGAAACGCATCCGTGCCAAGTCGGGTATGTCTTTCTATAGGAGGAGTGTTCATTCAAAAATAGTCAAAAAGTAGCCGGGGGACCATTCTTCGACTATGTTTGTCAATCTTTGTGTTTTTTTTTTGAATATTTTTGGCTTTCTTCCCAAACCCGCCTGTGGGAGGACATGCTCGACCTAAGACTACGGGGGGTGGATCTGATGGCGGGGGCCATGATATTTTCGCAGATTTCATGGCGCCTCTCCTCTCCTTGTTTCAACACGTCCCCGCCCCCCCCCCTCCCCGCCTTCGGCCGCGCACGCGCCGTCCGCCTTCCGCCATGATTTTCGCCCCCCCCCCCCCCCCCCCCCTTCCCCTCCCCCCCCCCTCCCCCTTCCCCTCCCCCCCCTCCCCCCTTCTCCCCTCCCCCTCCCCGTCTTGGACACGCCCCCCTCTTGGGACGCCCCGAGGAAGGTCGAGGGGCCTGGGGGCCCGCGGCGGGAAAGCATCGGGTCGCTGGAGCCTCTGGGTCCCGCGCTTCCCAGGCGTCGGGGCGTCGTGGGGGACCCCGGGGAGGGCGCGGCCGGCCCGTCGGTGCGGGCCCCAGGTGCCCTGGCGGATCGGCTTGGCGCCAGCGAGGGAGCACGTCTTTGGGCGGAGTCGGTCGCCAGGGCCAGTCGCCCCTCCCCCGGATGACTTCGTCCCGTTTTTTTTTGTTGTTGTTTGTTTTGTTTTTGTTTTTTGTTCTTGTTTTTTGTTTGTTTGTGTGTGTGTGTGTGTGTGTGTGCTTTGTTATATGTATCTGGTATACATAATTAATATGTATGTATGTATGTATGTAATGTATGTATATATATATATATATATATATATATATATGAATTTGTATACACATTTGCGCACATATATATATATATATGTGTATATACATATATAATATATATATATATATATATATATATAAATATAATCATCATTTTGAATAAACGAGTGCGTGCGCATTATTTTTCTGCAGAGGATGGCGGTGGGGGGTTCGAGACCAGCTCGGCTGGGATGGTATGAACTCATATTTAGCATGGGCGATATGGCAGAACCACATGTAAATTGCAGTACGGAAAATGGGGTTGATTAATCCGGGGTGGTGGGTGGTAGAGCTTATTTTTTTTCCAAAAAAAAAGGAGCGTCCACCAATGCTCAACTTGAAGTTGTCCACTCCACTGCTCGCGCAATCATCCAGCCCGCCCACCCGCAACTTGATTTGCAAAACCCATGCGGTGGCGATTGCGATGCATGCTTGGTGTTGGCTGGTGCATCTGTGCGGCCGCGCTAGCCCGCGCATGCTCGCGCGCGCAGCGGCCAGCTAGTTTGGCGCGACCGACGCGAACGCGGTGGCGCTGACCGTTCGGCACATCCCAGCGGGTCCTCTCGTGCGAGTCGGCGACTTGGGCGGGCGCGGTATCAGTGCAACTTCGATAGCGGTAGACACGATGATGATAAGTGCAATGCTGGTGACGATGCTGACAGCGATGGCGGGGCAGCCAGTGACGGCGCCGACGACGATGACGGCGTTTTCGCTTCGGTGATGACGGTTTTGGAAGGAGTTCGAAATGCGCGCGCGGCTGACGCGCGAGAGTGGCCCGCATGGCATCATTTGACACGGATCGTGCCACCCCCGCACTCGCGCAAGGGCGTTCGAACGATTTCGACATGCGCGTGCGCGAAGCCTGTTTGGCAGACTTTCGTGCACATGTTGAACTTTGTTGTTTTAGTTTTTTCTCTTACGTGTATATATATATATATGTAAAGAATTTACAAGAGCACGCGCGCAAGCTTTGTTTTGAAAGCCCGTGTTGCCAAACAGTATGTTTTTATTTTTTTGGACATTCGGTTTTGAAGCCGATACGAAACCTTAGCTTATTGGAGGATTTCGGCATGCGCGCGCGACGACACGCGCGTGTGTGCACTTCGTCCCTTTTTTGTAAGAGGTTCATAAAAACCTATGATGTTTGATGAACGAGTGTGCGCGCATCGTAATTTTTTGCAAAGGATGGTGGTGGTGGGGGGTCGATGCCGGCTCGGCTGGGCTGGTATGGATTCAGATTTGGGATGGACGATTTGGCAGAATCATATGTAGTTTGCAATGCGGAAGTGTGGGTCGATAAGCCCAGATGGTGGTGGTGGTGGTGGTGGTGGTAGAGATTTTGGTTTTGCTTAAAGGAGAAGTTGACACATCCCATGCTCTTGCGAACATCTCACCCGCCCACCCGCAACTTGGTTTGCAAAATCCATGCGGTGGCGATTGCGATGGATGCTTGGCGTTGGCTGGTGCATCTCTGCGGCCGCGCCAACCCTAGCACGCGCGCGCATTGGCCAGCTAGTTTGGCGCCGCCGACGCGAACGCGGTGGCGCTGACCGCTGGGTACATCCCAGCGTGCACTTCACTGCGAGTCGGCGACGTGGGCGTTGGCAGTCTCATGGCGACGCCGACTGCGGTATACGCGATGATGATAGTGGCAATGCTGGTGACGATGTTCGCGCCGGCGAAGGCGCGGCCAGTGCGGGCGCCGATGCTGCTCGCGCCGGCGACGATGACGGCGCCCCCGCGCGGTGGTGAAGGTTCTGGAAAGAGTTCGACGCGCGCGCATGGCCGACCGACGCGCGAGAGTGGTCCAAGTGGTTTTCTTTGGCGCGGATCGTGCCCCCCCCCAGCGCGCGCAAGGGCGCGCGCATGATGTCGGCGTGCGGCGCCAGAGGCCCGTTTGGTGGAATTCCATGCGCGTGTAGTTTTCCCGGGTATTCGCAACCGCGCGCGCGCGCTTTCTTTGCAATCTGTTCTTGCGAAGCATTTTCATTTTTTATCTTTATAATATGGTTCTTCCGTTTTGGAATCGTTGCGCAACCGAAGGATTGCGAGGGATTCTGGCCTGCGCACGCGACGACGCGCGCGCGTGAACTTCGGCCCGTTTTTCTGCCTTGCATTCTCGCGGCGGCACGCGCGCTGGGGCGTTCGCAGGATTTCGACATCTGCGCGCGCGTGCGAAGCTGGTTGGGTATTTTCTGAACGCGTTGAGCAACCTATGGTTTTCTTCAGAATTCGCAAGGGCGCGCGCGCGCTTTTCTTGGAAATCCGCGTTGCGAAACCTGGTGTTTTCGTATGTTTCTTGACGCTCGATTTTGAAATCTTTCGGACGCTGGAGGTTGTGAAGGGTTTTGGCATGCGCGCGCGACGACGCGCGCGTGTGCACTTCGCTCATTTTTTGTTTTTG